GACAAGGTATCAACGACTGGAAGCTAATGCCCAGAGAAATGCTCAGCGGAGGGCAGAGGAAAATGATGAGACAAGGTATCAACGACTGAAAGTTAATGCCCAGAGAAATCCTCAGCAGAGGGCAGAGGAAAATAATGAGACAAGATCTCAACGATTTGAAGCTGATGCCCAGAGATCAGAGAAGGTGCCAAGCCAAACAACTGAATCACCACATTGCGCTAATTGCCAAAGGTCATGAAATGAATGTGCCTGTTCACACACTTGGCCAAATGAATGTCGAATGCCAATTTTGCAAATCGTTAAACTTTACATGTGAAAAGCCTAAAGATGGAAAATTTACATATTGTTGCCAAAAGGGTAAGCTTCAATTAAAACACATAAATTTTCCTGAATTTCTTAAAAAATTATTCATGGGAAATAATGCTCCATCTAAGAATTTTATGGATAATATTCGTTCGTATAACAGCGCTTTAGCTATGGCTTCCATGGGTGCCCCGGGGCAATAGGAATCCCTTGGATGTAGTGAACCTTGCTCCTTATTGCTAAAGATTCATGGGCAATATTATCATTTGACCTCGACAGCAATGCGCCTATGTGATGGGCAACCCCCACGATATGCACAACTTTACTTTTTGGATACGGAAGAAGCTGTTCATCATAGAATGAATAACAAAGCCAACCAAGGGTGTGATCCAGCCCTAATGAGAGATTTATCATGTTTCATGATCAAATGCAATAAATTTGCCAAGACTTTTAAGATGATGCGTCAAGTTGAACAAGATTTTAATCCGAGAGGCACTCAAGCTCCAAATTTGATGTTGTGCTTTCGAAATGATCGTCAACATGATCAAAAAAGATACAATGCTTCACGAGCTAATGAAATAGCCGTGGTCTTTCAAAATGTTGATGGTGAGCCTCCATTTGAGAGAGGCATTCGGATTTATAACAAAAATTCAAACGATGTCCAACAAATTTCAATTCTGGACAAAAGATGTGATCCAATGTGTTACCCTTTATTATATCCATACGGTAATAATGAATGGCATTCAGAATTGAAATCTCATAATCCTCAATATCCAGGATTCAAAGTAACGCAAATGGACTATTATGCTCACTTGCTGGCACCAAGAGCAGAATTTAGCCAATTTCAAAAAGCAGGCAAATTGAGGTGTCAATTTATACTTGATGCCTATATGAAAACTGAAGCCAATAGACTTAATTACATTAAATTGAATCAGCCTCAATTAAGAGCTGAACTTTATTCAGGGTTAATAGATCATCTTGATAATCGAGCACAAAACGAAGGAATTACAGCTGGTACACATGTAATATTACCATCCTCATTTATGGGCAGTCCAAGAAACATGCAAGAAAGGTACCAAGATGCCATATATGTCTTTGGTCAGAAAGTTTGGTAAACCAGACATTTTTCTTATGATGACTTGCAATCCTCAATGCCCTGAAATTAAGGAAAACCTTGATGGATGCCCATTAGAGTATCGACCTGATTTGCAGGTCGCTAAAACATTCAGCTTGGATGTCAAAGAGGTTATGAAGGATCTAATCCAAAATGGAATTTTTGGAAATATCATAGCCTATGCAGGCGTGATTGAGTTCCAAAAAAGAGGACTTCCACATTTGCATTTACTTGCAATGTTGAGTGATGAAGATAAGCCTCGACTTCAAGAAGTCATTGACATGATGGTATGGGCTGAAATTCCTGACGAAGAAAGACATCCAAAACTTAATGCAAAAGTTCTGAAGCACATGATTCATGGTCAGTGTGGCAACCAATCTCAGAGATATCCTTGCACTGGTGACGATGGAAAATGCTCAAAAGGCTTTCCAAAAGAGTTTTGAGACGAAACAAATGCCAATGTAAATGGATATCCCATATATCAACGAAAGAATACTGGGAAAAAATACATTGTCAGAGGAAAATAAATTGACAATCGATGGGTGGTGCCATATTCGCCATATTTAATCATGAAATATGATCGGCACATCAATTTGGAAATATGCTCATCAGTGAAGAGCGTAAAATACTTATATAAGTACATTCACAAAGGATTTGACTGTGCCGCAATTGAAGTGCAAACACGAGATGGCACAAGGCTCATTAAAGTAGATGAAGTTAATTCATTCCTAGATGCAAGATATGTTAGTGCTCCAGAAGCAATGTGGAGACTGAATGGATACGATCTATTCATGAAGTCTCACACAGTAATAAGATTGGCAGTCCATTTGCCTAATCGTCAAATGGTTTATTTCAGAGCGGGAAATGAAGAGCAAGCTGCTCAAAGAGAGCTCATCCGAGATACTACGCTGACTGCATGGTTCAAATTGAACCAATCTGATCAAAATGCAATGCATTTTCTTTATACAGATATTCCTTCTCAATACATTTATGAAAAGAAAGAAACTAAGTGGAAGCCACGCAAAAAAGGTGTTAATAAAGTAATTACAAGGCTTTACACAGTGAGCATCAAAGATACTGAGAGATTTTATCTCCGCCTTCTTCTTCTCCATGTGGCAGGAGCTAAATGTTTTGAGGATCTGAGAATTGTCAATGGCGTTCTTTATGAGACGTTCAAGGATGCGGCAATTGCAAAGAATTTGGTAGAAGCTGATGATCTTTGGGAAAAAACAATGGAAGAAGCGACAGGATCCCATATGCCTGCACAGCTTCGAGAGCTATTTACTTATATTTGCATTTTTGGAACTCCAACTGATGTAACAACTCTTTGGAATAAATACAAAGAACACATGATTGAAGACTTTGTACACAGCAATGTTGTCAATCCTGAAAATATGGCTTTAAATCATATATAAGAAATTCTGAGGAATAATGGAAGTAGTTGTGAAAATTTCCAATTGCCAAATCCAAATCCAGTGATTATTTACGTAACAGAATATAATGTAGATGAGAAAAGAAAACGTGGTGACTATTTATTATCGACACTAAATGCTGAGCAAAAGTACGTGTACGATTTAGTTATGCGAGCAATTGATAATGAGAATAAACCACAGCGGCTATTTTGTATAGATGGGTTTGCAGGTAGTGGTAAAACCTATCTGTTTAACACATTTCTGAGTGTTATCCGAGGAAAAAACGAGGAGGTTCTTCCATGTGCATCAACTGGCACTGCTGCAACACTTCTAAAGGGAGGAAAAACCTATCACTCCCTGTTCAAGCTTACCATCCCAATTGATGATGGTGCGAAATCAAATATCAGAGGAAACTCTAAAGCTGCACGAGAACTGATATCTGCCAAACTCATCATATGGGATGAGGTGAGTATGACTGTAGGACATGCCTTAACAGCAGTTGATAAACTTCTCAGAGATTTGATGAATAAATCACAACCATTTGGAAGAAAAGTTATTCTATTTGCAGGAGATTTAAGACAAAATCTACCTATAGTGCCTCATGCACAAAAAACAACGATAATTGAGTCAACTGTAAAATATAATCCGTTATGAAGAAATGTAACTCAAGTTAAACTCCAGCAAAATATGAGAACTGGAGATGAAAGAGAATTTGCAAATTGGCTGTTGCAACTCGGAGATGGTAAATTGTCAAATACAGATGAATTACATCCTGATACAATTGAAATCCCTCATGATTTTATATCAAAAGGATCTCTTATTAGTGAGATTTTTGGTGATAAAATCACCATGGAACAAGTTCGAGATAATCATGATCGAGCGATCCTTTGTTCAAAGAATGAAGACACGTTTAAAATTAATGATGAAATCCTTCATCTAATGGAAGGAGAGAAAAAGGAATATCTCTCAATTGACTCTATTATGAGTGATGATCCACAAGAGCAATTGAATTTTCCGACTGAATTTTTAAACTTTGTGACATTTTCTGGGATGCCAGTTCATCAACTCAAAATAAAAGTCGGTGCTACAATTATCCTGTTAAGGAATTTGAATACAAAAAAAGAACTATGCAATGGCACAAGATTTATTGTTACTGATTTGAAACCTAATCTTATTTATGCGGAGGTTCTAACTGGCCCTGCCAGAGGTCAGATTGTCTTCTTACCAAGGATAGATTTTTTTCCAAATGACTCGGAACTCCCGTTTAAGCTCAAACGAAGACAGTTTTCTATTAGAGTGGCATTTGCTATGACAATCAATAAATCCCAGAGACAAACTTTAGAAAAAGTTGGGATTTATCTGCCACAATCCGTATTTGCTCATGGACAACTCTATGTAGCATTCTCAGAGCAACTAAAAGGGATAATGTCAAAGTTAAAGTCGATGAAAACAGCAATCAAGGACATCTTATTGAGGAAAATTCAAAATCTTTTACAAAAAATGTTGTATATCAAGAAATGTAAATTGACATGCAAAAAAATTAGAGGAGAGCCAATAATGCCGGGTCAGCGGTGAGTATTTCAGCCGTAAAAAACAATATTATATATCCTTAATTTATGAGAGCTAATAAGAACGGGTAAGCGGAGGGTACTTAAACTAAAAAAAAGGATAAATTTCGATCGTGTTTGAACAAGGCATCGTATTTGAACAAGGCATCGTTTATGAACAAGGTATCATATTTGTCACAAAGACGAGTTTGTAAACAATATAATGTCTGCGCAAAACATCGTGTCTGAACAAGACTTCGTGTCTGAACAGGACATCGTGTCTGAATAAGGCATCGTGTCTGAACAAGACATCGAGTCTGAACAAGGCATCGTGTCTGAACAAGGCATCATATTTGTCACAAAGATGAGTGTGTAAACAATATAATGTCTGCGCAAAACATCGTGTCTGAACAAGACATCGTGTCTGAACAAGACATCGTGTCTGAACAAGGGATTGTGTCTGAACAAGGCATCGTGTATGACCAAGGCATCATATTTGTCACAAAGATGAGTGTGTAAACAATATAATGTTTGCGCAAAACATCGTGTCTGAACAAGACATCGTGTCTGAACAAGGCATCATATTTGTCACAAAGATGAGTGTGTAGAAAATAATATTAGAAAATAATCGAGTTTTTATATGTATACACATATACAGTAAAAAATATAATGAAAGAATAGAAAAAATATTCTAAATTTTTTACTCTGTCTCTAAGAGTATATGTATAATAATATATATAGTTTTATTTTCTTCTCTGTTATAGTTATAATCATAAAAATTCGATTATATCCTAATATTATTTTTTAGTGGACTAGGCCTACAGGGGAAACCACTTAAAAAAAAACGCGTCAACAATAGTACCTCATGGGTGACGAGAAAATCTATTGTCGTGACAAACGTCGGTTAACTTTAAACCTTAGTTTACTCACTATTTTATCTCTTTCTAAAGGGGACAGTTAGAACATCTAAAATCTTAATAATTGAGACTTCAAAAAATGATGTTTTAGGATAATAAAAAAATGTGCAGGTAGAAAATTGCACAGTGCTTCCTCATAGCTTTTAAGTGTGCAAGTAGAAACTTGCACATTGCTTTTAAGCGTGCAAGTAGAAACTTGCATATTGCTTCCTCATAGTTTTTAATTGTGCAAGTAGAAACTTGCACATTGTTTTATTAATGGATCGATTTTCTTAAAACCGGTACCAAAATTTTTGTAATTTTTTGTTGATAATTTTGATAAAGCTGGCACTAAAAGATTACTAATTTTATAGGGATGGCTATTATGGGGTTGAAAATTGGGGGTTTCATGAGGTTCTATTGGTGCTCCTAATTAATGGGTGAGTTTAGGGGAATAGATTTTGAGCCCGCGCGAAGCGCGGGCGAAAAATCTAGTATAATTATATATAATTATATATATTATATATAATATATAATATATACAGGGTGTTCGATATAAAAGTAGAGATTAATTCTGACACTGTCCATTTGAGAGTAATTTTTCTGACATTGTACTCTCGCGAGCATCTCGTGAGAATCCAGAGAGTATTCTTTCGGAGAGTTCACTCAAAACGTGTCCACTTACGTACTTTTTTAGTCGATCTCTGAGAGTGGTGACATCATAATGTCTCGTAAACGAAGAAACTTGCGGCTACTATAGTGGCTAGCATTATTTTGAAAAGAAAAAGGATGTTAAATAACAACAAAAAGACCTTTTGGGTCAATCAATGGATTGATTGCAGGTGCCGGATCTGCTCTAATTAGAGAGCTTAAGATTGAAGACTCCCAAAACAATTAAAAGTTTCCACAGACTTACAAATTGTGAAGTGGATTACATAGTGCAATATTATTATTTAATTTTCAGTTTGCGAAATACCTTGATGTTAGATTTTTACATGTAAATATTTAATAATTTTATTTTCTTTTTTTTAAATGTACTTAATTCGCGATGTAAAAATGTATTTAATTTCAGCACTAAAACGTGCAAAGTATGTAAAACTAAAGTGTAACTAATTATTGACCAAGTAATTAGAAAATGTATTAAAAATATTCTTATCTAATTTTTTAAATTATGAATTTTTTTCGCACTTTATTCGCAGAACATAAAAATTTAAAAATTTTTTTATTTCTGTCACAGTAGTATTCTACAATAGTTCATGATTTTCGCATTATTCAATAAGTTCCTTTGTGTCATCAAAGGAACAAACTTTTGCCATCTCGGTTTTTACTCTCAACATGTAGCTCTCAAAATACGAACAGCGTTCGAGCTTGGTGAGCTGATCTCCGAGAGTAAAATAACGTCGTGTCGATTTGCGAGTAGGTCTTGAAAAGTTCGCTCGCCGAGAGCTGCGATTCATTCTCCGTTAGGTACTCTCCAGGAATATGTCCATTTGCGAGAATCAATCTCGAGAGCTACTCTCGAGAGTTTTACTCGCAGGTGGACACGCACCATTAAAGTTATTCTAACATAAACAAAAGTTAAAGTAAAGCTTGGTAAACCTCGTAAACTTTGACATGCAAAATAATTAAATTTACTAAAATTAAATGTTTCTGTTACACATAATTCAAGCTAAACTAATTAATATTATCTAAGGCGCTACGGCAATGCCTATGCAATACGTGTGCTACCTGTTACTACGTTTACGCGAGCGCGTTACTTTTGTAGTAACTTAGATAATTCACTCGTTTACGCCGAGTAAATTATTGTAAGTTACTACAAAATCTCGTTTACGCGAAGGAATTATCGTAAGTTTAGTATGGGCTGGCTCTAATACTTTTTCGCCGCAGTGTATAACATCTGTCGCTCGACGTTCGCCGCGCCCCGCTCGCCGCTCGTCTCTCGATCCCCACCGCTCGCCGCGCGCCGGGCACAGTGCCAGCCCAGCCAGCCGCC